TATGGAGAACATCATTCTCAGCAAACTGACCCAAGAACAGCAAATGAAATACTGCATGTTCTCACTCATAGGTGGGTAATGAACAATGAGAACACATGGACACAGGGAGGGGAGCACTACACACTGGGGTCTAATGGGGGGAATAGGGGAGGGACAGCGGGGTGGGGGAAGCTGGGGAGAGATAGCATGGGGAGAAATGCCAGATGTGGATGAAGGGGAGGAAGGCAGCAAATCACACTGCCACGTGTGTACCTATGCAACTGTCTTGCATGTTCTGCACATGCACCCCAAAACCTAAAATGCAATTAAAAATAAATAAATAAATAAAAAGAAATTAAGAGCCTCTGTCCCTTGTTCTAGAACTCTTGCTGTCCTTTGACCTCCCTCTTACCCAGTATTCCCCCCAATGTCCCCATTTGCACATGCAGCATGAGGAATATGTACCTTGGAGCATGTTACATGTCACTGATGAAGCAGAAACCTTAAGGTCTTGGTTACAGCATAGTGCTGGCTTGTCTCCTCTGCCTGCCTTTTCCTGGAACCTCAGCCCCATTGCACAAGGCACCTGCCACCCTTTTGAAGGCCTACCCCTTCAGAAGGACAGCTCTGACTGCAAGAGCTTCCAAAGTATGAAAAGCTGAGCTGCCAGCAGCTCCTTGAATGCAAGCTTAGCTTAGCCTACGATTACGCCCTCAGCTTGTGGGGAACGAGAGAGACGAAGAGAACAAGTCAGAGGACCACCTAGAGCCACATTATACTGGGAGCTGTTGGTGCTCTCGGTAACAAGATAATGGATAGATAGGCTTTTTTTTGGTTTGTTTTAAGATAGAATCTCACTCCATTGCCCAGGCTGGAGTGCAATGGCACAATCTTGGCCCACTGCAGCCTCTGCCTCCCAGGTTCAAGCAATTCTCCCACCTCAGCCCCCTGAGCTGGGAGTACAGGCGCCTGCCACCAAGCCTGGCTAATTTTTGTATTTTTAGTAGAGATGGGGTTTTGCCATGTTGGCCAGGCTGGTCTCGAACTCCTGACCTCAAGTGATCCTCCTGCCTCAGGCTCCCAAAGTGCTGGGATTATAGGCGTAAGCCACTGCACCCAACCAATTAGATAAGCATTTCTAGTAGAATGCATGAGAAATAAAGTTGAGTATCAGTCTGTCAACAAAAGACCTCAACAGAAGACCTTACCTTTAAGATGACCTTTCCACTTCAGGTTAGTCCTATATAAAAAAGTGTTTTCACTACTATAAAAGCCACCACCTGTCCTGCCGCTTCATTGAAACTGTCGTTCTGGGATAGATAGGGTGGGTGCCATGGGAAGGATCTGAGCTAAGTGGCACAGCAAAACAGGAGAGTCTTTTTTACCTTGGAAGTGTTCCACCTGATTCCCTTGCCTGGGGGTGGCTCCCAGTGGGCTGGGGGGCACAGCAGTCAGGACCCTACCCTGGAGCCGGGGCCCCATTCTCAGGATGCGCACACTTAGTGGCCGAAAGCAGTGATTAGTCAGTCGGAGCTGGACGCGGACTCTGGTATGAATCTTAATCAGACTCTTCCCCATGGTGGCCCAGGAAGGCAAATACTTCTTCAGTAGAAACCAGCTGATCTCTTCAGAGAAACCAGCCAGGCAGGGAAAGATATAGAGAGGGAAAGACGGAAAGCCAACTAGGAACAAAGGAGTTCCACGGATCCCACACAAGAGCAGCCCCTTAGCAGTGCCTCCTGTGCTGTAGAGAGAAGGTCACCTCCCCAAGCCTCAGATCAGGCTGAACTGCAGGGAAGGAGCAGCTCTGAGAGGCCAGCGTTATCAGGGGACTGGATTTAGTCAGAAGCACTTAGAGCCATAAAAAGTAATGCTTCTGTAGCCTGCAGCTCTTCCCCTGAGGCCCGGATAAGGGCTCCAGCCTCTCAGAGGGCGAGGGACAGAGTGGGCAGAGAACAATCTCCGAGGGCATGGGGAATCAAGATTGTCCCAGAAAATCCAGGATGTAAAGTTACAATGCCAATGGGCTTTATCCAGGTCATACTTAATCCAGGCCTGCCCTGCTGCCAGCCATGTCGCATGGTCAGTGCTAGCTTTGGGCTGGGTGGCTCTGAAGGGTGAGGAGGTGGGCTCTGTGATATGAATGGGCCGAACAGATTACAGAATAAAGAATGTCTTTGGTGGGGCGTGAACCAATTTCAAATGCTCATTAAGTTTTTTGGGGTTCTTGTTGATTATGCCCTTCTTCTGAGGCCCTCATTGCATCCCTCATAGCCCCTCCCTCCCTGGTTGAGGTGGGCAGTTAGGGTCAGCTGTGCTTGTCAAGACCTTTAAAGGCAAGTCCTCCTCTTGAAAGATGGTGCACCTGCACTCTTGCTTCCTGGAAACTAATCCATTCTTTACTTCCACTGGCTAGGTAGCCCCTGTACTGATAAAAGACTGTTGCAATTAAATGGCTTTATTTATTTCCACATCTAAACCCAATGTCCATCTCCCTCTCCTTACCCTGAGCCTGTGAGATTCATTCAGGCCAGGTCAGTTCTACCTGCCCCCTTCTGCATCTAATGGGTCCTGGGCCAGGGGCCCTGACTGGGGCCATGGACTCTGCTTGACCACTGGCAGCCTTGGGTATGGGGTGTGAGGAGCACCTGGAAGACTGCTGAGCTATAACCTACCAAGTGTGCCATTCTATGAGGCTGGTTTTGAGGAAGTGCCCGGCCCTAGGGGATCTATACTCAGCACCCTCTCCCCACTGTACCTCACCTTGCATTTGGCAGCAAGGGGGGACACTTTGGACAAGGAACCTGCTGCTGCAATGGGAGAAGACAGGCTCTGGGAGGATGAGTCTGGAGGTAAAGCCAGAGCTGAATGGGGAACTGACGCCCCAGCATGTCTCGGGATCACAAGGACTATTTCCCCCGCCTCTTGAGTTCTACTACCCTAGCTGGCAGCAACTCTCAGTGAGTATTGTCCCCACACAGCTTCAGCCCTCCCTCTTTTGGGAATGCTGGTTTCCTGAACATTCTTCCCTGTACAAGCCTTCTCTCCTGTTTTATATCCTGCATGGTGCTGGCTTCCCTATGGTGAGCCTTTTGCTGGGGAGGACAGCTGTCCCAGCTCTGTAGAAGACTTGGGATGGACCGTCTAGCTTCAGCCTCAGGAGGGGTGGGAAGGAAAAGCCACAGAGAGGGGAGAAAGTTGTTTCCTCAGAGAAGGGGAAGTTCATTCTACTTCCTGAGATGTACACCCTCAGAGAAGAGGGATAGTGAGAGCCAAGCTCAGCTATCTGGCTCAGCCTAAGATGGGAGGAAACACCAGGAGGCTGTCTGATGATGGTCATATATCCATAATTCCACTCTTTGCATAATGATTCTACTTGGTAGTCCACAGGCACTCTCCCACACCGAGCTCTGTTCTGCAGTGGGGGCACTGGTCTCAGAGAGATTAAACAACCTGCTCCAGAAAGTGCATGGCAGAGCTCCTAGTCAGACCTTACCTTAGGCATTCTGAACAGGACTCTGCACTGTGCTTGCTGCCTGCCCATAAATGCTTTAGTCTCTTTAAAATACTTCTGCACATATTAGCTTCCTTGCAACCAATGAGGTGGGCAAGGAAGATGTTCCTATTTTACAAATGGAGCAATGAAGATACTCAAGTAACTTGATGGTGTTTGTCCAGCCAGGGTTCTCAACCTCTAGACCATTGGGAGTTATATTCCAGACTCCAGTAACAAGGAATCTCACATTCACAGTGACACATCCTAAAATCCTAAACACAAATTAGATCTTCCCAGGGAAACAGCAGAGTGATACCCTTCCTAACCTGACCAATTCATTTTCATTCCCAAGCAGGATTCTTACAAAAAAGGCAAAGGCTGTTCCTTCCCAGCTTGCACACTGTTAATCCCAGGAGAGAGACAGGTATGAACCAGTTCTGCTGCTGTCTCCTACTGTATGAGATCTGAGGTCCTAAAAAAACACTGTCTCTGGGAATGAAAGCACTCAACTTCACATCTGTATTCGGCCTGTGGGTGACCTGGGCCAGTGACAACAGCTAGAGGGCAGTATTCCAAGAGCACCTCCTAACAGCATTAACTACCCAGAAAAGAGATTACTGGCCTCAGCTACTGGGGTATCTAGTGCGGTGGAGATAAATAGACTTTCTCCCTCTTGCCACCTCGGCCTCCTCCAAAGGAAGGGAAGTGTGGGGATAGCTGGATCATATTAGATTTCCTGAGACAGTGGAAAGAAATGTAGATAGCAACAGGACAAATTTCATTTTTTTCAGACTGTCTTACTCCGTGGCCCAGGCTGCAGTGCAGTGGTGCGATCTTGGCTCACCGCAACCTCTGCTTCCCAGGTTCAAGCGATCCTCTTGCCTCAACTTCCCAAGTAGCTGGGATTATAGGTGTAAACAACCATGCCTGGCCCCTTTTAAAAAAAAATTTTTTTTTTTTTAGACAGAGCCTCCTTCATGCAGGCTGGAGAGCAGTGGCTCAATCTCAGCTCACTGCAACCTCTGCCTCCCAGGTTCAAGTGATTCCCCTACCTCAGCCTTCTGAGTAGCTGGGATTACAGTCATGCACCACCATGCCTGGCTAATTTTATTTTTAGTAGAGACAGGGTTTCACCATTTTGGCCAGGCTGGTCTTGAACTCTTAACCTCATGATCCACCCATCGAGGCCTCCTAAAGTGCTGAGATTACAGGCGTAAGCCACCACGCCAGGTACGAAAAGCCTCTTGATGGAAAGTAATTTCAGAACTGCATGGAACCTGTAGATCCCACATGTTCAAATCCCACAAAGTACTAATCCAGCACCCTTAAATCCACAACCCCCTGCCTAGATACCCATACCACCCTGTACCCAGCTAGTATTCCCATCCACTGGATAAAACCTGCCACTGGAAGCTCTTTTCCCTAAGAAATGTGCTGCTGTCACTAATGCAAATTAGCCTCATTTTGAGAACCCAGATCACAACTTGGAGGACCCCAGTGGTCACCTAAAGAAGCTCATGCTCACCTTCCATGATGGAGATGTGAACAGCTCTTCTGCGGGTCCTGGGGACGCTGCTCAGCCTTGGGCCATGGGTTATGGAGGGACAGCTCCGGCTGGGAACCATCCCTGCTCTGCGGTTAAATAAAAAGAACCTTGTTAATTCAGTGCACAGACACATTTGGTAGGCACTTAAGAGTTGAGTACTGACTACTAGAATTGCCTGGTTGTAGTATGTTTTGGTCTCTCTCTCTCTTTTTTTTTTTTTAAGACGGAGTCTCGCTCTGTCACCAGGCTGGAGTGCAGTGGCGCGGTCTTGGCTCACTGTAACCTCTGCTTCCTGGGTTCAAGCGATTCTTCTGCCTCAGAAGTCCCAAGCAGCTGGGACTACAGGTGCACATCACCACTCCGGCTAATTTTTGTATTTTTAGTAGAGACTGGATTTCACCACGTTGGCCAGGCAAGTTTTGAAGTCCTGACCTTGTGATCCACCCACCTTGGCCTCCGGAAGTGCTGGGATTATAGGTGTGAGCCACTGCACCTGGCCTTTTCTCTCTTTTTAAAAATCTTTAATAACTTCTCTTTGCCTTTGGTCTCTGAATCCCAGTCAGAGATAGTGTTTCAAACTCCTCTACTTCCTTATAAGCCTAGACCCACCTGAACCTTTTTTTTTTTCAGTGTGGCAGCAGTGCCACTGGTCTCAGGGGTGTGGGCAAGACTGTCAGAGAGTAGAGCCCCAGTATGGGCAGTACTCCTGAAAACATGCCTGGACCAATACTGGCAGCCTCCCCTGACTTCCAACAGAGGCTGCGGATGATGGGGTGCCATGTGAAGGGGCAGGCAGTAATGCTCACATTCCTAGAGGCAAAGGCTGGTTGGCAAATCCTAGTCTTGGTCAGTCATATCCTTTCTGGGTCTTGGACTCTAGGAGATAGGCTTCTGGATACACACAATTTGTGGATCTACATGAATCACAGATCCTGAAACTATTTTACATCCAGTGTGGCAGGGCTGTGTGACCATCCTTGGCTTTGTGTAATGGACTGATTCCAGAACCACTGAAATGGTGTGACATATCTATGATCAATGTCAAGACTTGGGAGGGCAGAAGAGAACTAAGTGAGGTAGCACTTGGATCTGATGTACTAGCTGCAGTAGCCCATCCTCCCCCACTCTCTTATTAAGGGTCAAAGATTTCTCCCCATTCCTTCTGAGAAGTTTCTTCACCCACCTGCCCTATTCTGCCCCTTTTGGCAGCCACTGGGGCCAGGAGCTTCATAGTACTCAAACTTCTGAATAGAGATCCCGGGATCTGAGCTAGAACTCTTTTGGGGGGATGCCCTGGCAGCCCACCTGTGTATTTCCGGTGGCTCCCGTTTGATCTTAGCACTTGACTCCATGACTTCCTTTGCAACTCGGCCACTATAAGTAATATAATAAAAAAAAGCAGCAAGAAATGAGACTGTGTTCCAGGACAGCGCCTCCAAGATCTCAGGTGCATTCGCTGAATCTGTAAATGGCCTCTGTGGCCCACCCATTCCCCGATGTTTTGATCATTAAGAAAGGCTTGCTTGCTGAGGTAGAGAGTTGTAAAGCGTTGTGACAGCCTATCTGAGAGAGCTCTCTCCATGTCTAAGAGAGTCTTTAGGATCTTCCATTCTCATTTAGGAATAATTCCTCATTTTCTGGCATGTTACATCACAAAAAAACATGAAACAACCTTTAGATAGTGAGACATGAAAAGAATAATTGTTATAGTTCTGATTTTGCTGCTATTTAAGAGAAAGGGAAGATACACATTTATTTTTCATGTTCTTGGAGCCAGGGTCTTGCTCCCAGGCTGGAGTACAGTGGTGTAATCATGGCTCACTGCAGCCTCGACCTCCTGAGCTCAAGCAATTCTCCCACCTCAGCCTCCCAAGTAGCTGGGACTACAGGTGACTTTCTATGAACAGTAGGGACTGAACAGGAGGGAAATGTGACCGTGCCAAAGTCTCCCCTGAGTGTATTCTTCAGGAGAAGAAAGGCTGCTGATTCAGTGAATCCTTGATTCTGGTCTGAACACATAGTGAGTATGAAGCAATTCAGAATGCCTTTCTAAGAAACAGCCTCTAGAAATGCCCAGCTATTTTTTTAATATTTTTTTGTAGAGATAGGTTTCACCATGTTGCCCAGGTTGGTCTTGAACTCCTGGCCTCAGGTGATCCATCTTCCTCAGCCTCCCAGAGTGCCAGGATTATAGACGTAAGCCACTATGGTTGGCCGATATACATTAAAACCCTACAGACAAATAGCTGTAGGGAAGGAAGGAAATAGTAACAGGGTCATAAGACAGGAGAATTGGATGGAAACCTCAGACTTTACTGAGTCTTCCCCAGTTTCTCTGTTCTCAAGGATAAGGACCACTGAATGTTCTCCAGAGAAGGGTCTGAAAATAGATCCATAATGGTTACTTACTGTCACTATTTACCTGTATCGGAACCGGCTCCCTTTAAAGAATAAGTTGCTGCTGGACACTGTGCGGACTTGGCTTGACTTCTCCAGCCTGCAGCAAGACAAAGTCCAGTGTGACAGAGGGCCTGAATTACCTTACCCAGGCTAAGGCAGCACATCCCCAACTTGCAAAGGCTACTTGAAACTCTTCAGGAAAAATCCCTTTATAGTCCACACTTGTCTCTGACTGTCATTTAGGATCTGGGGGCTGTGCTAACAGCCAGCTGCCCTCCTGCCTCAATGCCCAGGACTGTCACATCCATTTTGGTGTCAGGAGAGTGAAGGCTCCTGCAAATGCTTCATAGATTTTACCAGGGGGACTGAGAGAATACTTATTCAGGTCGATGGACTGGGGGAGTAACAGAATGCCACCCATCTGACCTCAGCCAGGCCACTTATTAGTAGTGTGATGTGACTTCGGGCACATTTCCTTCCCTCTTAGCTTTACCCTTCTAAAATGATGGAGCTGGGACTGATGGATCTCAGGAGTCTCCTTTCCAGTCCCAGTATTTGATCTTGTGTCTGTCTGGGTGATTTGGGTAGAGAAGAGGGTGGGGGCTGCCCTTCCTGTTTCATCTCCCTCTTGGACGGCCCTAAAATACATGACCATGGTAAAGACTGAGAAATCCTGCAATGAAGAAAGTAGCTTAACTTTAAAAGTTCCATCATGTATTTGAATTCGGAGCTTTCCTCCCTCCCCCAGAATGTCTATTTAATATCTCTTTTGAGGCTGTGGATGGCTGATGTGGAGCTCTGTGATACTTTTTTTTGGGTAACTTCACTGAGCCCATTAGCTCTCTCAGTCTGGGCTGAGCTGCTCAGAGAGAAGTCTCCTAAGATGGGATCCACCTGTAACACGACCAGGTGCCTATGGTACTGATCCAGCCAGGGACCCATGTGGGTCTGAAACCTGTGCTATGAGCAGTGAGTAGGAGCCGTCTCCACATCCATGAAGAGTTCCTGGGAGACACCATCCCTTGCCTGTCTCAGGGTTCCGGGACATCGGCTGCTTACCCTCCTGCCTGGGCATGTTTTTGCATCTGACTGGGCTCCTGCCAAGGCATCAGGCCAAAGGCAGGACTAGGGATCTGTATGTGAGAGACAGTGAAAAAGGCCAAAGCACTGCTGCCGGAGACTTGGCGTACCTGGGGATCTGACCCCAGCTACAGGCTTTTACCACTTAACAAGAACATTAGGGAGGCAACGGAAAACTGAAAAATGACCTCAGTTTCCAGAGTGGGTGCAGGCAGGGCTGGGTGGGTATGGAGATCTACTCGTGGGAACACTCAGAAACCGAGTGTGGTCACAGGTTCAGAAGCACACTTCTGTTTCCATGACACAGATGGGAAAACCAAGTCCTTAAGAAATGGTGCTGAAGGCATGAAAAGACAAGAGACAAGGAGATTGCTTCTGTTTGCATTAGACTGTTTGGTAGAGAGAAAGGGAAGTCTTTCACATACACCATTCCCAGGGCAGTGACAGCTCAGTGTGGAGCAGGCCCCTGTCTGCTAGTACCTTCCTCTCTCTGCTAGGGAGACCCATGAGCCCCCATCCTTCCTGGGCTGCTCCTCAGTCCCACAAGCAGGAGTTTGCTTCTCAAGTTGCTTCTCTCTAGGTTCAGGTAACTGGCAAAACCTGGATTACATCCATGGTAGCTAAAGGAAATAAATGTTTTCTTGACTTTCTATGGACAGTAGGGACTGAACAGGAGAGAAATGTGACCATGCCAAAGTCTCCCCTGAGTGTACTCTTCAGGAGAAGAAAGACTGCTGATTCAATGAATCCTTGATTCTGGTCTGAACACATAGTGAGTATGAAGCAATTCAGAATGCCTTTCTAAGAAACAGCCTCTGGGGCTGTGGCCCTGGCAACTGGAAGGACACCAGTTCTGCCAGCCAGCACCCCATAACAGCTAGCAGGCAGCAGAATCTTCCCTGGGGAAGAGCATGGTGCCACTCAGCCCTGAGCAGTTCTCATCTCTCCAGGATCCTTCAGGTAACTGGAGCCGGGACCTGGTCTGACAGGGGCATTTGGTGAGAGCAGGGCTGACCCCAGGTAGAATATACCACACACTCTTTCTTGCCTTGACCTCATTCATATACATCTTAGTAAAGCATAAATCATTATGGTATATTTTTAAAGTAAGACCAAGGGGTTTAGTGAGACATGCTTTACCTGACTTCACGCCTGTGATGGGCCATTTCTTCACTCCCTAATGCTTTTATAACCACTTTCTTAATTGAAGAAAACAACACAAAAGCCCCACATATTTTACAAAATCCCTTTGGTAGGCAAAGCTCTTGCCTTTGGCATCAACCTGGCTTCTCAGTAACTGTCAAGCTCTTGCCCATTCCAGCTACCCTGCCCCAGGCCTTCTGTCCTGACTCTTTGTGACTCTGGCTCTGAGAAAGACAGTCCCCATCATATGTATCCACTCACTTGTAGAAAGCTTGGTTCTCAATTCCACATTTCCAGAGATGCTTACATGCTTCGGGAGTTGGAGCAAAATATGTAAGAATAATTTTCTTTTCCTGCAAAAAATTCCACATAGATATGGCTGAGTATGGATGGAGAAGTAAAGGGTATAGTAGACTAGGACCCTGACCCCAGAGGTGTTAGAGGTCCTGGCAGCTGGCTAGTTGGAGGGGAGGGCCTGTGGGACCCACTGGAGCAGAGCTCAGTTCAGTGCATCACGTTGCACTTGGCAAGTCCGATCAGCGTCTCAGCTGGCACAAAACTGGCACAAATTGAACCAGGTGAGCTCTTGGTGAGAAGGTGGCTCTTGCCTCTGGAATTTCCATATATATGAAAAAAAAAAAAGAGTCTTCCTTTGCATTTCCTGGAAGTGGAGATCTCTTGAGTGGAAGCTCTGGGTGTCAACAGCATCCCTGAGGAGTCCTGTGCTCTAGGGCCTTCCTCCCCCTTTGCATCATACCTCCAGGTCCTGACCTTGGTCTTGGCTTAGCATGTGGGTGGCTTGGCTCTACTGGGATCCCTCAAGCTTGGCTCTGGCCACCAGGGAGCATCCTATCACCCCAGCCCTCCCTGAAGAGAAGGAAGCCAGCACTCACCTCTTTCTGACTTACGTATAAATAGAAAGTCTTTCCTTCAAATTTCAACTTGGTCACCTCATTCCTAGAAGCACAAAGATAGTGTCTGTCACCTCATTGTGGGCTGCTTGTTCTAGTTAAATCTTGTAAATGCAAAGCCCATCCCAACTGGAAGGGGCTCCAGGCACAGACACAATTTTAGCCAAAATTAGAACTGAAACAAGACAGCAGCGCAGTGGCCTTAGAGAACGTTGTTGAAACAGTTCAATCCACAGTTTTCTGGTCAATCACACTATAGTAATAGGGTGACAGGAGGATTTCAGGCTTATCAACAGTGGCTGTAAAAGGGAAACATTTGCATGGAAAGTGAGTCTAGGTAGAGTATCCAGGGTCATTTCAGGATTGGGTTCATAACACAGGTGCATTATCTGGATGGGACTGTCAAACGTAAGATGCCACAGGTAGCTGATGAGGCCAAAGTTCAAGATACAGCAAATAATGAGAAACAATGCAACCAGGTTCTGAGGGAGTTGAGTCTTTCAGGTGACTGTGCCACTGGATGGAAAATGCAGTTTAATGCAGACAAATGTCAAACAATCTCAGGGAGCGGGGCAGGGCAACATACCAAAGAGAGAGAACAGATTACATGGAACAGTCATGCAGCGTACTGACCAGGAAAGGGGCTTAGGGGTTATTGTAGAAAAATCCTTGAAGCCACCAGCCCAGTGAATGGCTGCAGTAAAAGAGGCAAACAGGATACTGGGGTACATCACCCGTGGGACAGACACAAATCAGAAGAAGTGACATGGTTACTATACATGGCACGGCCTAGACCTCACCTCCACATCCACCTCCTGCTCTCAGCCTTGGTTACATTTGCAAAATGGAAAAACTACTGGGTCTTAGGTGAATGTCCCTGAGAGCCAGAGAACTAGGACTCAGCATTGGTCGCTCCTTACTTCCCTTCTGTCTGCCCAACATAGCTGCCCTCTGGAGCCTCTCAGCCCTCTCCATGAAACTGGAGGCCCCATTTATCTACCCAACTGGGATCCCCAAAGCAGTCTGGTCATGCACATCCACCTCCACTTGGCTGCTTTTTTTTTTTTTTTTTTTTTTAATAATTTCTAGGGAGATTTACTCAATATCCTAGGAAATAGTAGAAAGGTATTGAGAATCATGTATCCAATTTACTGCTGGACAAAGTTCAGGGGACAGAGGAAAATCACTTGTTCTTTGCGGTCCTGGAAATCATGGCTGGGTTCAAGAGATTTCATAACTTCTGACCACCAGTTCTGAGCTAACACAAGCCACATGGTATCCCTTCCCTGTATGATTCCCTCTCAAACTTGCTCTCAATCAACTTTCAATCTCATGCACACACACAATATGATAAATGCCAATTGGTTAATATATAGACAAGCACATAGATCATCTAGGTTCCAAGAAGCAAGCTAGGAAAGGAGTTTTATTTTGAAAGTGAGATTCGTTTACATCTATTATTACAGAGTTGACATGTGGTGAAGAGGTGACTTCCAGAAGAAGTAGTGCATGAGAAAAGCCATGGAAAGAAAAGCGTCTGTGAGAACTAGGAGACATCATGGCTTCTGGAGGGGTAGGGATAATTTAGGGACTGCAGGTGTCTGTAACAGGTGTGTCCTACTTGTTTCTAGCTAAATATGCCCCCTGACAGGGATCTGACACAACAGCTACTCTGGCTGGAATGTGGCCCTCTAAGGAACATCAAATAGCCCAGATGTATCTAGGCAGCAGAGGCCCCACACTAGGAGGGCTGTGGCCTGATCCTGCTCGTTGTCTTTTTCTGAAAAGCATTTTGTTGGACAGGAGATTCCAAATCCTCACATCTTCACCCAGAAGCACAGTGAAGTAGGCTGACTTGAGGATGCCTAGGAAACAGGTATGTCAGGGTGTATTCTGGTAACTCCAGGACAGCAGCTGCCTTGTGTTGGGCTGTTGTCCTGGGGAATGAGGCCCCACCCCGCGGCATGTGTGAGAAGCAATTTCACCAGCACTCTGGCTGACGATCGTAATGCCATCCTTCACAAAAGCAAGATGGGCTGGAAAGGTGTTATCTGTCCTCAAACTCAAGCTCTGTGGGGGAGCTGAAGAGGGCACAGCTGGACAGATGGCCTGCAGTGGCTCCAGCAGAACGTTGACTAGGAAGCACCTGTACTTAAGGTTCTTCATGAGCTGTCCTGGAGAAGGCAAAGAAACCAAGCAGGCTTCCCTCCACTGAACTCTGGTGGACCAGGAAGCCACTTATCTAAGCCTGTAGGAGGAGTTGGCCAGCTTAGACTTGGTAGTCTGACACCCAAGAAGGTAAAGAAATCATAGGAGCTTAGTAGAATATGCAGTATGTTTTGATGCCGACAGATGTTTATATGGGCTGGCCAGCTAAAGGGTCTCCAGGAGAGCTAAATGTCAATCAACAAACCAGAGTCTGCCCAGAGGCATGCAGCAGAACCCACCCCAAACAAAACAGAGAGGGGTAGGAGAGGAAACAGTTCAGAGTAGCTGCAGCGGAGGCAGTGGCTCTTGCCTGTGAGATGCGAGTGGAGAGGGGAGGGAAGGAAGAGTGGGAATATGACTCCTGGAGGCTGAGGACACTTAAATGCCAAAGAGGGATAGGAGTGAAACAGCAGCAACTGAGCTCTTGCACACACAATGCCCACAGTGAGGGCTGGTCGGAGGTGGGTATTTTGCTAAAGTAACAGGGTGACTTATATGTGCCCCAGGGGTCACTGTCTGTGAGCCCCCTCCCCACTCTTGTTAGCAGAGCAGGTAAGGGCACTAAGCCATCCACAGAGATGCTCCAGAACAGCTGGCTCAACAGGGCTGGCTACCGCCCTCAGTGGGTGAAGCCCTCAAGGACTCAGTTCTCACAGGAACTTTGCTCCGCTAACATTGCCTCCAGCCCTGGGCCTCTCACCCTCCCCAGCAATCAAACCTCATATCCCCTTTCCTCTCTGGAGAGGCTATTGGCTCTCAGGGACACCCCTTTGGTAGAACAGGATCCCTAGGAAGAGACTGCTCCCTTCATTAGTAACCACTATCAACGCAAGGCTTTGGAGAGGGCTCTGAACCAGAACTGCCCAATCACAGACAAAGGACATGGGAACCATCGTCCCTCCCCAGTTGGTGAGATATAAAGAGCCTGTTTTGGAAATGAAGATGCTCACCATTTAATGAAGTGGACCCTCTTGTTTCCTTGAAGAACAACAAACCCAAAAGGAGTGAAGGCCAGAAATGCAGCATTTCCTGACACGTCCTGCAACACAGAAAGACTTCTCACCGGGTGATGCAGGCATAGAGGTGAAAGGGTGAGAAACACAGCTGTTCATAGGTGATGCAGGGTTAACATTTGGCAGTAGGTCACAGAGTGAAAAGCATGTCATCTGGAATCACAAGACCACAGTTTGAGTCTCAGCCTTGCCACTTGCCAGCTGCATGACTACAGGCAAGTTACTTACTAAGCCTCAGTGCCCAGATATGTTAAGTTGTAGATTATAATGATACCAACCTTAGAAGGTTGCTGTGAACATTCAAAGAGATAGGCAATGCCTCATGCATTGCTGGTGGGATTGTAAAATGGTACAGTCACTTTTAGGAAGAGTTTGAAAGTCATTTAAATTGTTAAAAATAGAGTTACCATATGACCCAGCAATTCCACTCTTCAGTATGTGCCCGGAGAATTAAAAATGCACGTCCACACAGAAACTGCTACATGTATGTTAATAACAGCACTATGTGTAAGAGCTAAACAGCAGAAACAACCCAATCCATTTTCCAGTGTAAAGTTTCCGTTAACTGATAAATGAATACACAAGTGGTATATTATGATACAGCAGAATCTTATTCAGCAGTAAAAAGGAATGAAGTACTGATAGACACTACAACACGGGTGAACCTTGAAAACATTATGCCAAGTGAAAAAAGCCAGTCACAAAAAAATCATGTTGTAATCTTTTAGCTCTGTCAATAAACTAAAAACCACTGAATTGTACACGTTAAAATGGCACATTTGGGCCAGCATGGTGGCTCACACCTGTAATCCCAGCATTCTGGGAGGCCAAGGTAAGTGGATTGCAAGGTCAGGAGTTCAAGACCAGCCTGACCAACACGGTGAAACCCTATCTCTACTAAAAATACAAAAACCAGACAGGTATGGTGGCATGCACCTGTAATCCCAGCTACTCAGGAGGCTGAGGCAGGAGAATCACTTGAACCTGGGAGGCAGAAGTTGCGGTGACCCAAGATCACACCATTGCATTCCAGCCTGGGAGACAGAGCAAGACTCCATCTCAAAGAAAAAAGTTGGGGGGGGGCACATTTGGCTGGGTATGGCGGATCATGCCTGTAATTCCAGCACTTTGGGAGCCCGAGGTGGGCAGATCACCTGAGGTCAGGAGGTTGAGACCAGCCTGACCAACATGGTGAAACCCCATCTCTATTAAAAATACAAAGATTAGCTAGGCGTTGTGGCACATGCCTGTGGTCCCAGCTACTCGGGAGGCTGAGACAGGAGAATCACTTGAACCCAGGGAGCAGAGGTTGCAGTGAGCTGAGATCATGCCACTGCACTCCAGCCTGGGCAACTGAGCGAGAATCCATCTCAAACAAAACAAAACAAAACACGTTTTATATGTGGATTATATCTTAAAAGGCTGTCATTAAAGAGTGGGGGGTTTGTTATCACTTTCATAATAGTCCTATAACATTGGGCCCTTCAGGAAAGTTTAGCTGAGGAAAAAAATAAAGAGCAACTGGCCAAACAGAACAGCTGCCTTCATCTCTGAAATGCCTGAACCAACAGAGAGGGTGTCCTGGTCACTGGCACCATCAGTGGGTAAACACCAAGCTTGAGGCTCCATTGAACACAGTGGGGAGGGGGTGCAGCAGAAGCTGCAGGTCCTGCTTCCTCATGTGGGAAAGTCAGCTCCACGAGGACTAGGCTGGGTGGAGGATTTTGCCCTCCCAGAGGGGCTTCCTTTGTGACAGGGGCGTGAAGTGAGATTTGGTGCCATCAGGCTACATGAGTGGCTCTGGAAAGGGTATGAATGTTTTGAAGTGACCAGAAACTTATGCCGTGATGCTGGTCAAACATGTCTGCAGGAGAGTCTTCTAGGCCACAGCTCAGGTGGTGCCATGGAGTCAGGGCCAAATGCTGGGTGTGAGGCATGGGTATGGGGGCGAAGGCTGCTGGCTGGGCCAGGTCGGACTAAGATTTGGCTCTCCTGGTCTCTCAGGTTTCAGGGCTCGCCTCCTTGGTACAGATTCTCAGCCTGATTGGTCTTAAGAACAGTGGGGCCTTTGCAGGGCCTCATGAGTTCTGCCTCAAGAAGCAATACAGTTTTGCTTTAAAACTATCTCTCAGAGTCAGGGTTATAAGTGTGAGCATCTGGGTCCAGGGAATAAACGGAGTATATGTTTGGTAAACATTTGTAATTAATGTATTGTTATTATTGTCTTTTCCTCAGGGTCTGTCATAATCCAGACACTTGGCTACAAGCACAATGTCATGGGCATAGCAAAAAGCTGTTTAAAAATACCTGGAATACAGACATTGTGAAGCCACAGGGCTGGATTTCCTCCTGCTTGTCATCAGTGCTTGGTGGTGGTTATTAATATCTGAGTACCAGACACTGCTCACAAACACTGTTCCTGCCAGGAGGCACCAGGGCTAACCTGGCAGGCTTGGCAGAGGTATGGGTCAGGGAAGGGTGGCCTGCCTCTTCTGCTCACTGTGCAAGTAGGACCCAGGGAAGTTCTATAATTGCAGGCTTAGAAAAACAGAGGCTGGGAGTGGAGACCTTATTGTGTGAATGCTAGTATAGAAAGGGCCTGCAGAAAATGTTGAACAGATAAAGGTATAAGACAGTGGGGTGGGTCTGAGGGGCCAGTTTGGCTGCAGTGGGGAATGTCCATGTGTGGGTAAAAATGAGAAGGGAGGCAGATGTGGGGCAGAGGCATGGAAGGGGTCATAATGCTCGCTGAGATAGAAGAAAGACCTAGGAAGTGAGGTGGAGGGATAGAAATGAAGCCTTGGGCCTGCAGGAGGGTAGCAGACAGCTCGAAATAACAGGGGAAGTAGTAGGGAAGGGAGGTGGGGGGACAGGCAGGGGAGGAAAGCTGCAGAGGAACCCTTCTGCTTCTTCCACTCTGGCTCATATGGGCAGTGACTTGCAGAAGAGCACCCCCACTAGAACCACAGTGCTGTGGGTTGAGTCAAACCGCTTCGGTCCAGGTCCAGCTCTGCCACTCACTGTGTGGCTGTGGCCTGGTCCTTAATTTCTCCATGATTTAGACTCCTTATCTTAGAATAAGGGTTTGATCATATTATCTACCTCATAGGTTACGTTTAGGAGGCCCCCCACAAATGCTAGTGGCCATGGGTTCTTTTGTTTTAGAGACAGGGTCTCACCATGTTGCCCAAGTAGCTCTTGAACTCCCAGGCTCACGTAAACCGCCCACCTCAGCCTCCCAAAGTGCTGGCATTACAGACGTGAGCCACCATGCCTGGCCTGTGTTTGTTAATATTATTAGAGCTGGTAATAGTTAGCTGTTTGTTTAAATTAATACAAATCCTTTTTTAAAAGAAATCTAGGCCAGTAGATAACAAAGTCAGGAGTTCAAGACCAGCCTGACCAACATGGTAAAATCTCATCTCTACTAAAAATACAAAAATTAGCTGGGCATGGTGGTGGGCGCCTGTAATTCCAGCTACTCGGGAGTCTGAGGCAGGAGAATCACTTGAACCCAGGAGGCGGAGGTTGCGGTGAGCTGAGATTGTGCCACACCACTCCAGCCTGGGCTACAGAGCCAGATTTCATATCCAAAAAAAAGAAGGCTGGGCTCAGTGGCTCACACCTGTCATCCCAGCACTTTGGGAGGCCAAGGCGGGTGGATCACTAAGTCAGAAGTTCAAGACCAGCCTGACCAAGATGCTACAACCCTGTCTCTACTAAAAATACAAAAAAAAATTAGGTGGGCATGGTGGTGGGCACCTGTGGTCCCAGCTACTCGGGAGGTTGAAGCAGGAGAATCACTTGAACCTGGGAGGCGGAGGTTCCCAGTGAGCTGAGATCATGCCACTGCACTCTAGCCTGGTGACAGAGCAAGACTCCATCTCAAAAAAAAAAAAAAAAAAAAAGAAAAGAAAAGAAAAGAAAAGAAAAACAGGAATCTAACATTTTACTATTATTCCTGACGTTGACAGATTTAAATTTTGCTAGTTAAGAAACAAAAATGTGGGAAGTTAGAATGAAAAAAGGAGAAGTAATTCATTGTTAGGGGATCATGGAGGAGTGAGAAAGAGAAGGGAACAGAGCCCATGACAGTCAGAGATCCGCCAGAACCTTCTCAGTGACCTGTGTCCCTCTGGGCAGACTAAAGGGAAGAGTGAGTCGCACAAGATAGGGGGTGCTGCCCAGGTTGCCCTGCATCCTGCAGATACCTCAGAGCTGGCCTCTGAGTGAAGGCAGGTGTTAGAGTGAGAGTTAGAGGGGCAAAGCCTCTCCTAACCAGACTGGCTACTTTGGAGCAGAGAGCTGGGAATAAACCCCAATGAGATGCCACATCATTTTATAAGTAATAATAGTAACTTGAACAATCCCAATGTAGTCTGTCATATGAAGAGAGCAGTTCTCCAAACTGTTTCAAATGCAACAGATACAGATGAGGCCTCCAAAAGAGGCCAGTGTCCACAGGGCAGGTGACAACTGGGATGTCTGCAACTTGCCTCAGGCACGTGAGGCTCAGCAACCAGTGTGGAAGGGACTTGAATTACAGTGAGAAATCTCACATCTGTAATGGTGTGAAAATACGAGCAGGCAGCCATACTGACACCTTCCCTGGAACTTCTCCAGTTTCTTCTATCTGACTTGTCATTCTTGTTGTGAGCCTGCCCTTGGAGTTTGTGTACAAGATAACAAGTTGCATGATAAAAAGAGGGAATGAGGACAAGGTGAGAAGTGAACAGTCAACAGTTGCCTGTTCTTCAGAGCTCCCATTTCATCAACTTGGACTGTCTTTCCTCCCTGTCCCCTTCCCATCTCTATGAAATCAGTGCCCACAGGACTGAGCCATTAACAGAGTCAGGAAGTGGAATACAAACTACGGTCCTGAGAGCTATGTCGTGACTACTGCCAGCTACACTCTGCAGCAGGTAATAGTCAGAATAATCTAGTTCACTTCCACAGTTCTGAGGTCAAAAAATTATTTTCAATTTCTCATCGTTGTGAAAAGAGCTGTCTCGATTTAGGACCCCAG